TGGATAGATTGATTTCCCCACTTTCTTTTTTCCCACTTTCTTATTTTTAAAAAAAAGTTTTAACTATTCTGGTTCCTTCTATATAAATTTTAGAATTATTTTGTCTGTGTTTACACCAAAAAAAATCTTGCTGGAATTTTGATAGGAAGTGCATTAAATTTATATATTGGTTTGGAGATCATTAATATTTTACTATGTTATATCTTCTAATTCATAAACATGGTGTGTTTCTACATTTATTTACATCTTCCTTGATTTCTTTTTATCAGCATGTTGTAGTTTTTAGCTTACAAATTCTGTGTATGTTTTATTATATTTATACCTAAGTATTTCATTTTTTTCTGAGTTGTTGTAAGTGGTCTTGTATTTTTAATTTCAGTTTCCACGTGTTTGTTGCTAGCACATAAAAATACAATTGATTTGGGGCACCTGGGTGGCTCAGTCAGTTAAATGTCTGCCTTATGTGTCAGCTCAGGTCATAATCTTGGGGTCCTGGGATGGAGCCCCGCATCGGGATAGGAACTATCCCTTCTGTGAGTTTTTTCGCCCCAGCTCAGAGCAAGTCACTTTCCTGTTTAACAGCCTTCAGTGATTCTCTGTTGTCTATACTTCTTAACTTTATGGTCATTGTCTATGTATGTGTAGGGTTCTCAAACTTCAGAGAAGAGAAGAATCACCTGGGGACACTAATTGAAAATGTAGACCTTAAGTTCCAGCCCCAGAGATTTTGACTCAGTAACTCTGGACTGAGACCTAGGAATCTGCATTTTAATAACCTCCTGCTGGTCATTCCAGTGCAAGTGGTCCACAGAATCCATGTTGACCAAACAGCGATCTCAGGCATACAGGTCATAGTCCTCTGAGGACTATGAGGTTCGATTCCAACTTGCTCAGTCAATAGTACCCCTTCCTCACCCTCACCCCTACCAGGCCTCCATACCTACAGACCAACATAGTGGGTAAGACTAAACCAGTTGAGGGGCGCCTGGGTGGCTCAGTCGGTTAAGCGTCTGCCTTCGGCTCAGGTCATGATCCCAGAGGTCCTGGGATTGAGGCCCGCATTGGGCTCCCTGCTCCGCGGGAAGCCTGCTTCTCCCTCTCCCACTCCCCTGCTTGTGTTCCCTCTCTCGCTGTGTCTCTCTCTGTCAAATAAATAAATAAAATCTTTAAAAAAAAAAAAAAGACTAAACCAGTTGGCAAGTGCTCTTTGGAAAGGCAAAATTAATCTCTCCTGTCCCTTTTCCCCCGCCCCTAGCATTTCAACGTTAGCACAGAGTTGTTCAAACTATAGGTTGCCAGACGTAATAGGTTTTGACCAACTTTTTATTTAAATTTATGATTCCCAGAATAGAATACATGGAAAATATCAGTGTGCATTGGGTTAAGGGTATTGTAAAACATTTGTTTCAGTTAATTATACCTATATGTAGGTATGTATTGTGTCAGGATATAAAATGCATTTCTTACTGTGGGTGGTACTCCAACAACACTGAAAGCAATAGCTATAGAACTCACCTCTCATTAGATCCATCAGTATAGCCTTCTGTGTCTCCATTATTGTGAACCTTTGGAGAATAATAAATAAAGCCATCTTTATCCCCTTATTCCTCTAGGATGCATCATGGTGTTTTGTGCTCAACAACTGAATTAATTTGATTACATCATCACAATCATACCTCTGCTGGGTTTAACTACTTCAGATCAAGTATCCTCTTTTAGGTACAGGTTTGGGGTTATTCCTTTCAGAAATTGCCTCTTGTAGGGTGCCTGGGTGGCTCGTCAGTTAAGCATCTGCCTTCGACTCAGGTCATGATCTTGGGGTCCTGGGATGGAGCCCTGTGTCAAGATCCCTGCTCAGTGGGGAGTCTGCTGCTCCCTCTTCCTCTCCCCCTCGCCTCACCCCCGCTCATGCTCTCTCTCTCTCAAATAAATAAATAAAATCTTTTTTTTAAGATTTTATTTATTTATTTATTTTGACAGAGAGAGATACAGTGAGAGAGGGAACACAAGCAGAGGGAGTGGGAGAGGGAGAAGCAGGCTTCCCACTGAGCAGGGAGCCCGATGCGGGGCTCGATCCCAGGACCCCGGGATCATGACCTGAGCCGAAGGCAGACGCTTAACGACTGAGCCACCCAGCCGCCCCATAAATAAATAAAATCTTAAAAAAGAAAAAGAAATTGCCTCTTTGTGAGAGAGTGAGCCTTGGAGCATTGCCAGGAGAAGTGGCTCCTCACCTTGGCCAGAAGCAAAGGGTAACATTTTCTAAGGTGCTGAGTTTCTTTGGGACAACGTATTTCCTCTGGAAATTCTGGAGTATGGTCTGAGGAATGGGGTGGGTGGCTCTCTAGCCTGAGATAGACCAGTGAAAGGACACTCTAGAAGGGCAAGAGTAGGAAAGGTAGCTACATGAGCCTTCTAGGTGAGCATGTGTTAAACATCCATTGGTCAATAAACGAGTCACTATGAAGGTGCTTAAGAACCCAAGAAGTGTTCAGTATGTGTGACAGACTGAACCACATTTGGATCACAGCTTCGTTTTCTTAGGGCAGCAGTGTTTCAAGTGGCAATGTGTCCGGTCAAGGTTGTTTGAATGCAAATCATTTTACAACGAGAGCTTGCTTCTCACATGTATGTTAACTGCCCGTCTCCTTTAGCTGTGATTTGGGGACCTCCTACCTATGGCAAAATATCTGGCTTTGAAGAACTCAATGCAGAAGAGTAGTGAAGGTATAAATTTTCAGAAACAATTTCCCAGCCAGGCCCCTTGAACTGGATGCACAGGGGGCTAGCAGAGCCAAGGGGGATGTCGGACAGAGCAGGCATGCTGGACCGAGGTAGAGGTGAAGTAGAGCGGAGTTTCCAAAGAAAAGCTTGGGTATGCAGAGAGTAAGGAGAGGCCACTTTTTAGAGGATGGGGGAGGAAGGAAGCTCTGACTTATTGCAGCAGAGACTTGGTGACAGCTGAGGGCCAGATGTAAATGATCTCAATGAAGACTGGGGTATGAAGGGCCAAGAGAAGAGAGAGGAGGTATGGAGTTTATCCAAATATCAAAAGGTTTTTTTTTTTTTACAAGGTTTTCAGTTTGTCCTTGGTCTCAAAATAAGACTTCTTGAAAACAAGTAAAGTAATATCACTCTTAAAAAGCAGAGGTGACATACCTTATTAGAATGGCTAAAATTCAAAAAACCTGACAATATACCCCATGCTGGCGAGGATGTGGAGAGACAAGAACACTCATCTGTTGCTTGTGGGACTGCAAAATGGAACGATCATGTTGGAAGCCAACTTGGCAGTTTCTTCCAAAATTGAATGTACTGTCAGCATCTGATCCAGCCATTACACTCTTAGATGTTTACACAACCAAGTTGCAAACTATGTCCACGCAAAACCTCCACAGGAATGTTTTATCAATTTGATTCATAATCAGTGAAAACTGGAAGCAACCAAGATGTCATTCAATTGGTGAATGGATAAACAAATGGTACAAATGGATAAAGAAATGGTGATACGTCCAGACAACGGAATGTTATTCAGCAATTTTAAAAAATGAGTTATCAAGCCACAAAACTACACGGAGGAACCTTAAATGCATACTGTTAAGTGAAAGAAGCCAGTCTGAAGAGGCTAGGTAGTGCATGATCCCAGCTTATTTGGTGTTTTGGAAAAGGCAAAACTAGAGAAATTGTAGAAAGATCTGTGGTTACCAACGTCTGTGGCCAGGGAGAGGGATGAACAGGGGGAGCACAGTGGATTTTGAGTGTAGGGAAACTATTCTCAACACAACTGCAATGGTGCATACGTATCATACATACATTTGTCATTCATCAAAACCCATAGATTGTACAACACAGTGTCTCTTCACGGGAACTATGGCCTATAGTTAATCAATAATAATGTGTCAGTATGGACTCATCGAGTGTAACAAATGAACCACACTAATGCATGATATTAATCATGGGGAAAACGGTGTCCAGGGGAGATAGGAAGGTGGGGGCTGAGTATATAGAACTCTACTATCTGCTCCATTGTTCTTTAAATCCAAAACTGTGCTCAAAAATAAAGTCTATTAATTATTTTTTTTAAGAAACGAAGAGATCTCACATTGAAAGAAAAAGAAAAGGCAAATGTGATGAGAATTATTTTTAAATGTTAAGAGAGCCAGCAAGGAAGTCCTGGGAACTTGCTTGCAAACTACACCGCCAGCCTTGCTACCCAAGACCCTCTTCACGAACTGAATCCCTCACCTGTGACAGAAATCCACGCCACATCTCCTCAGTGGTACAAGCTCAGGCTCTGTTGGGTTTGCGCACTGAACCCCCTTGGAAGGGAGAACCAAAATTTTCATCCCCTTCCTAGTTTTCTGAATTTTCTCATGGAAGTGACATTGGGCTTGTCTGGTAAATTTGAAGAAGCAGCCTCGTGAATTCCTTCCAAAGGAAAAAAGGTTTTTCTGTGACTGAACTTTTCTCAATCAATGATAATGATGGCTTTACTGTTAATTCTCCCTAATTATGTAGAAGGCCTTTTAAATTTGTTTTGGTGGTTCTTCTCTTCTGAGATGAGGCAATCAGCCCAACTTTCATATTTTAAGAAGGTGGCAGCTGCTGCTTCTTCTTCCTCTGGTTCTTCTTCCTTTTAAGTCACTCCTCCATTTTGGAGTTTCTGCAAGTGATCATAGACGTAAATTCCAATCTATCCCTCAAATGGCTTTCAGTGAGATGCTTGTTCTAAATCCCTCTAAGCTACCGACTTGTCCAGCAGAGGACCTTTTAAACTGTATTAATCCCCTTGAGTTCTAAATCCTTTTGCTTTGGGGCCAGAATCTCATCCCATAACCTTCTGAATGGCCAACATAACTTTGAAAGTTGGCACTTTGCATGTAAACGGCGAGAAAGCTGTAAGGCAATAAGCCTTGCAGCCAGCAACGTATGGATTTCAACGATCACCTTTAATCCACACCCTTCCCCTTTATAATGTGTGGTTTTCTTCTCTTAATTAGAAAGAGCCAGGGATTATCTGCACAAAACCGGAAGGTTTATTGTGATTGGTGGGATTGTCTCTCCCGTCCACGACTCCTACGGAAAACAGGTGGGTTGGTCCTTTGCCTCTCTGCTCCTGTACCCTCCCTTTCTGACCCGATGGCTCCTCCTCGGGCACAGCTGCCCCACAGCCATCCGCTACACTCCCTGCAAACACAAACGCCCGATAGCGGGCGTCCTGCCCCCGGCTCTGGAGCTCAGTCCGACGTGAGCGGGTCGGCGCTGGGCAGCAGCCGGGAGGAGCCCGTGCCCGGGGCCAGGCCGCTCGCAGCGCCGGGCGGTCGGGGCTCATCAGCAGCGGAGCACGCGCACCCGCTGAGGGCCGAGCGGGACTTGGCGCGGATGGCACACTGGCGGCCGGTCACGGGTCTTTCCCGGATTTTAGGAGGACACGGCCCATGCCTCTTACGACCTGATTTAAAATTCCTGTCCTTGCCGCTCCCTGCCTGCCACACGAAAGGGAAAGTCTAGGAGCCCTCCCCGCGTGTCCATCCCCCCTCCTTCCCCAGCTACCCGTGGCTGGGCGCTGGGGAAGTTGCCGACCCAGCAGCTCGAGCCTCGAGACAAAGCACCGTTTGCAGGGTTAAAAGTCTCGTCTCTGCGCTGGGCACGCGGTGGCTGCTTCCTCCGAGAGGCCCACCTCCGGACCCTGTCGCGAGTGGCACATCCCCGCCCTCCGTCCCTTTCTTTCCCCTCCGCCGCTCCATGCGTGTCTGCGTGGCAGGTGCACACGCAGGGGGGCCACACCCTCATTCCCGGCGCCCTTGAATAGGAGCCGGCTCGGGGTGGGGTCTCCAGGAGGCTGTGGGGAGCGCAGCGAGCCTCCCACTGATGCTCTGTTGCTCCCCAGGGCCTTGTGTCGAGCCGGCACCGCCTCATCATGTGTCAGCTGGCCGTCCAGAACTCCGACTGGATCAGGTAGGGCTGGCCAGGCCATTGCCACAGGTGGGTGGCCTGCGACTCACTGGGGGTGAGTGGAGGAAGTGGAGGAATGCCCTCAGCCATCTGGATCCCACAGGGGTGGGGAGGCCCGCACAGATGTTAGTCCCTTGCAGGCAATAATTATGCAAACCTTGGGAGGTGGCCCAACTGATAGCTTTAGTTTATAACCAGGCCATAGGGCCCAGCAGACTGACGAGGGAAGCGTCAGTGTTTCTTCTGCTCTGGGACTTTTGGATCCAGGATTTTCCTGGAGCATCATTGGATTTGGAGTGAGGCCTGGCCAGGAAATCCGAAATGCCTCTCCACTTTCCTCCCCAGTTACTTCCTGTGAATTTGCACTTCCTTTTAGGGAATGTTCCCTGGCCTTCCTTATTTCCCATTCCTGAACTCAGGCTCCCTGGGGCTCCCCGTGGAGCGCTCACTGCCTTTCCCTCAGGCTCTGGCCACCGTCCTCACTAAGATGGCAGCCACCCTTATGCACAGAGCTCGCAGTGTAATTAAAGCATCTTCCACTAATTATGCAAATGATGCTCCCCCAAGTTCCTACAGTTATAATTTGCATGAGAAAATGGCATTTAAAAAAAAATAATGGCACACCATTTGTACTGTAATTTCCCCCCACGGAAAAATAAGCAGCACCTAGAGGTTTCCATGAAAGCAGGGAAGTGAAGGGAAGCTGACCTCACAATGAGGGAGAAGAGATGGGGTGGGCGGGAAGGAGAACAGTGAAGGGAGGCGACAATGATAATTAAATAGTGATCCCAGCCAGTCATGAGTAGTGATTTGTGTGAGAAACACTTGCCCTTTATCGACTTTCTCATCCCCCTAAGATACAGGTAGACACAGCTGCCTTTTCTCTGGTGAGAAACAGGCCCAGAGAAGTCAAGGGGTTTGAGCGTGAACAGCACATCCATGGTCACATTAGGGATAGAAACAAGGCCTTGTAACATTGGGGCTTAGGATCTCCTGGGGAAAATGGGGTCCACTGGGGGAAAACACAGGCAGGAGGTTGTTCCTGCTTGGATGTGACTGGAAGATTCTGAAAGAATTGCTTCATTCATTCAATGAATATTTACCCAGCGCCCCCTGCCTGCTCTGCACTGCTCCAGGCACTTGGGCAAGGTCAGAATTCCGGAATTGAGGTCACTAGGGAGGCCCAGGTAGCTCTAGAGTTAGCCCCTGGCCCCGGGGGAGCCTGTCTAGCCCAGTCTATCTGTTTTAGGCAGGTGGGTGGTGGTCAGAGATACTGGGAGCCTGATGCACAAGCTGACTCTCAAGGGTTTTCAGTCAGTGAGATCTTACCTCTGGGAAGCTTAGGTGTGTGCTCATGGTGGGAGGTGGGCAGGGAATGCTCAACGGCTAAGAAAATGTTTGAGAAATCTCCCAATTTAGCAGCTCATTAAGATGGCAATTAAGCCCGAACAGTTCATCGGTCTGGGCTAGCTCCCTGCTCATTTCACATCCTCGTGTACAGGAGGGGCTGACCAGGGTGCAGGGCTGTGCCCTTTAGTCTGACTGGCACGCCCCCCCCATGCCACAAGGCCCCCCACTGCACAGATATTCAGACCACTCAATGACGGCCTGGCTTTTAATCCTTATCCCAATCCTAGAGGGCCCAGAGGAGAATTTCCATCTTGTGGGGAAGCACAAGAGTGAGACTCTGTACTAAGCACTTTGTTTATAAAACTCATCGAGCCCTTCTAATAACCCCACAAGAGAGTTACGGAGTCATTTTACAGGTGGGGAAAGTGAGCACCAAAAGACAACATCACTTTCCCAAAGTCCCATACTCTCATTTTTACAGGGGGGAAACTGAGGTGTAGGAAGGTGTTTCAAGCCCACGTTTGATCTGATTTGGGATCTAAGGACACGGCATGAGCCAGTGTGCTAAGCTCCCTGAGCTCCGGTCTCTGGAAGGAGCCACTAAGGAAAGAGTATGAGAATGGAAACCAAGGGAAGCCTCTTTCTGGTTATGTTAGGGTGGACCCATGGGAGTGCTATCAGGACACCTGGCAGACCACGTGCAGCGTGCTGGAGCACCATCGGGACCTCATGAAGGTGAGCTGAGCCACGGCAGACGGGTGGGTGGCCCCCGAAAGCGAGGCAGGCCCGATAAGGGTGCTGCTGGCCTACTGACCTGGTTCAGTTTCCTGCTTCTCAGCCAGCTGTGTGGGAGACCAGGCCCCGAACAGCAGGAAGGAGGGCAGCCGATTAGGAACCCGAGTCATACCGGAGGCTGCCCCCCGGCCTTGCTCCGCCTGCTCAGTATGACTCGGGTGGTTTTCATATTCTGGCAGCAAATCCAGGGTGGGATTAAGGAGAGACTTCAGAAAGTGAGGAGGGAAGGAGACCTGGCCAAGGAGGGCAGGAGCACAGAGGGGCGCTGGGAGGAAGTGCCATCAGCCGGGTGCTCCTGCCCCATCTGTTCTGGGGCCGAGGCACCTCACCCCTGCCAGTCACTGTCCCTTTGCTCACTCTCATTCCTCCTCACATGAGTTCCAAGGCAGACAGTGTTCTGGTCCTTGTTATATGAATGGATAAAAAGAAGCTCAGAGAGGTGATCCCATCTATCTGAGGACACACAGCCACTGCTTAGTGAACACAGATGGGAGCACGTGGCCTGTGCCCAGGCTGTCGCAACCGAAGAGCAGGTTGCCACACCAGCCAGCAGCACTGGCCAGAGTGTGTGGAAAGCGCGCTTCCCAGATCAACACCAACGCACGGATCTCCACAGTGATGGCATGAAGAGCAGTGCCATCCAGAGCAAGAAGCCTGACCACCCAAGACAAGAGGCAGTGGGTCCTGCCCACCCCCACTGACCCTGTCCCGGTGCCCTCGTCAGCCACCATCGGCAATCTGGATGGCATTGTTCTGACACACACAGAGCCTCTGTGCATCTGTGTTTTCTGTCAGTGGGTGTCAGAATCCGCTCCTTGGGGGACCTGTCAGCATCATGCTCACCAACTGGGCAGCTGTGCTTGATTTGAATAGAGTAGGGGTTTCGGGCTCCCGCCCAGCCAGGGAGTCAAGAGGAAGAGGAAGAGGAAGAGGGAGGGCTCTAGCTGGCTGTTGCTTCATCTGCTAGGTTTGTCCCCCTTGGAACTGAAGACAGTGCACCTCCCTTCCTTCCGTTTTCAGAATCCTTCACACACATCCTGAGTCTTTCCTGGTCCCCTTGAAAGGACTCTGCCACAGGATGGCACTCACTTGCTCCCTGTGCTGGTCTCAACAGCAGCAATAATAAAAGGCATCCCATCCTGTCTTACTGTATCAGTCAGGATAGGCTAAGGTACGCTGTGGTAACAAGCATCCTTACAATCTTGGTGACTTCATGTCAGTTTATTTCTCACGCTACATGTCAGCTAGGGGTCAGCCGGGGGCCTGTGCACCTTCTGATCACACAGCAGCCTCAGGCTCCATGACGGAAAGGAGGAATCAGGGGCCCCGCACACATGCCTGAACCCTGCCTCTACCAGCCATGTGGCCTAGCCGCTGTTTTGCTTCTAAATGCCTGGGCTTCCCGAACCCTCCCTCTGTTACTCATGCCCAGAGGCAGGAGTCTGGGCCAGAGCAGCTCAGCCAGGAGCCCCAGCCATTGCAGTGACGGGCACAGAGAATGTTCTCTACCTAGAACAAGTCCCATGGGGCCCATGACATGCGCAGCGGGAGGAAGCAATTCCTCAGCTACAGGACCAGTTACTTAATGAGAATGTGGCGTTTTCTTTTCTGGAGGTGAAATAATAATAAGAAAGGAGGTGGGCTGCCCTTCCACTCCACCAGCCACGGCTGGTCACGAGGGTCGTGGCAGCCCTGCGGCTTGGGGTTCTCTGGCAGCCGGACTCCAGAATCCCTAAAGAGTGGAGCACGGGGGTGGGACACTGGCTTTCAGGGAAGGGACCTTGCAGAAGCAACGGCCCTTGGAAAGCTGAACGGATTGAAAAATCCATCCTTTGTTTCTCTGTTGCCCCGGAATGGGCTCTCCCACCCACAACAGGGAACGGGGGTGGTTTCTGGGTCAGCTGGGAAGAACATGGCCTTATCAGCTCAGTGCTTTCTGCGGCCCCAGAGGAAAACTGCAGGCCAGATAACGCAGCACAATGGATCATACACATAGAATTTCCGCTTGGCTCTGGAATGCACACCCGCCAGCAGGCGCGAGAGTGCCCAGCACCCCACCCCCGCTTCCTGCCACACCAACACATCCTGTCGTTGGCATCTCTGGCCTGGGGAGGCGGCAGGTGGTGATGGTGCCTGGTGTTCGTATGACCTGCGCCAAGCGTACACAGCCCTTCTGCGGACATGACCTCCTGTGAGCCCCGGGAAGCAGGCAGGGAGGGCAGGTGTGCACGTTACACAGAAGGTTACAACATCGGCGGCCAGGGGCCACATACTCTGTAGGCACATGCTTTGCAAACACTCGCATGTGTAATCCGACCACAACGCAGATAGGCAGCTATGTGGCCTGTCCATGCTACACTCCTGAGCTGAGGTCCAAGAGAAGGTAACTCTCCAAGGTCATGCAGCCAGAGGGGGGCAGAGCTCAAACTTGAGCCAGTGTCTATGCGACACTACGTCCCATGCTTTTCCAGCCCTGAGCTAGCGGTCTTGCCTCCTGCCGGCCATGTGCAGCCATGTGGTACAGCTGAGTCTAGAACCCGCCCCTGCCACCACCTCAGCTGCAAATGGCTTCCCCGTGATAGATGAACGGATGAGCGTTTGAAGATCACTAGGAATGCTTTTCATAAGTCACTTGGCTAATGACACTGACCTTGCACCTCTCCCTTTCCCCAGCGGGTGACTGGCTGCATCCTCTCCAATGTCAACACGCCCTCCATGACGCCTGTGGTCGGACAACCCCAAAATGAGACCCCCCAGCCCATTTACCAGAACAGCAATGTGTCCAGCAAGCCCACTGCAGGTAGGGGGACACCGGTGTGGAGCCGTGGTTCTCAAACCTCAGAATCAACTGGAGGGCTTGTTAAAATCCAGATTGCTAGGCCCTTCCCCAGAATGTGATTTAGTAGTAGGTCTGGGAGAAGGAAGGAAAATTTGCATTTTTAACAAGGTGACACCGATGCTCTGGTCCTTAAAATAGAGCATCAGAGAGAAGCAGTCACAATGAGAGAGAGACAGGGTTGATGGTGTGCATTTTTTCTTATATTTATAAGTTTATAATTCTAAATTATATTTATAAATTATATTTATAATTGCCTTCCTGGGAATTAAAGATACGAAAGGCAGCATTTTTCTCTGCCTCTTCCAAGGGAGTTGAGGATCTTGTCCAAGGTCACACATTGAGGAGGTGTCAGGACTCGGAGTCAAACCCAGGCATCTGCATTCAGAATCCCACACATTCAACCACCTCTTCAGTGGCAGAGAGCAAGGGCTCCAACATTTACCCAACACCGAGTCCTGTGTGCCCATACAATGCCCAGTGTTTTACGTGATTTCGTATTTTGTGCAGTAATTCTGTGATAAAGATATTATGTTCCCATTTACAAGGAGAAAACTGAAATTCAGAGAGGGTAAGTGATTTGCCTAAGGTCACACAGCTCAAAAGTAGAAGAGTCAGAATTCATGTTCAGGACTATTTGAATCCAAGGTCCATGTTTTTTCCAACATTTTTTTTTACCAACCCATTGCAAGAGACAGATCCTGGTATTACTTTTCAAGCCTAGAGACCATAAGCTATAAGGTTATTAGTATGTTCTAAACAGAGTAAGTCACAAAGTCTCATATAGCTACAAGTGGGGGTTCAGAAAAATTTTCTGGGTTAGAGCCCAGAGAGGTCATCAAAAACCAGATCCCTCTCAGCAAAGCAGGATGTCTGATTATTATAAAGTCCATCTTCGTGGGAAGGAATGAAGGCTAAGGCTCATATTAAAAAGTGAAAAAAGCAAATATGTCTTTTAAATGCAGAGTATGAGCCAACTTATGGTGTACAAACATACCTGCATAATGCATATTTTTTTAAGTGGAGGAGAATAAATAATATGCCAGTGTGTTAGTGGTGGTTGTCTCCCAGGATGGAATTATGGGTGCTTTTTATTTTCCTCTTTATATATTTTCCTCTTCTACATTTTCCATTCTTTGACAGTATAATAAACACGAGCAGAACATATAATCCGGTCTGTGGCTCACAGTGCTTGTGCCTTGGACTGTGAACGGGAAGGAATGTTTGCTGTCATATTTCTGTTCTTTCTCTCCACCTTCCTGCCTCCCACTACCCCCACCCCTGCCCCCTCCAGGGCAACCCTATTGTTTAAGTGGCCCAAATGCCGGGCTGTAAGTTGTGAGTGGTTCTCTCCCTCTGTCCCTGTCTGTCTTGCTCTCTCCCCTAGCCAAGATCTTGGGGAAGGTGGGAGAAAGCCTAAGCCGGATCTGCTGTGTCCGCCCACCAGTGGAGCGCTTCACCTTTGTGGGTAAGGGAGCATTCATTCATTCAGCAAACACCTCCCAGCACCTGCTGTGGGATGACTGTTGATAGAGCAATGATGGAGAGAAAACAGAAGCAAGCAGGAATGTCCCCAGGCTCGCAGGGCCCAGCGGCATGACCCGCCTGGCCTGGGGCTGCTGAGACCTCAGTGTGGTGATGTGCTCATTCCCCACCCCACCCCCACCGCCCCACCCTCACACACAGAATGAGGCCACATGCCTAAGAGTTTTCAGGAGCCCAGAATCCTCCCTCTGGTCCTCCCAGCTCTGGCAGCGTCTGCCTCCCTGCTGATAGGCTACCAACACCCATGCTCTTTCCTTAATTCCGTTTCTGGCTCTTCCCTCAAGGACTCTGCATGGATGAGAATATCCAAGTCACTGGGGCTCTTTCAGGATCCCCCAATTCCACTCTGCAGAAGAGCTGAAGGTCTAGACCTCATTCCTTTGACGCTTTGAGGCTGACTTCTGCCATTTCTGAGATTTCTGAAAATTCCGCCAATTTTCCAAAAGGCACTAAGAGGGGTGGCAGAGGAGGAGAGGAGATGGGGGACCAAGATGGTGGCTCTGTGGTTTTTGTGCACACCGTGAACCCCTGTGCCGGCATTGCACACTTCAGAGCACAGGTCAAAGCCTCTGTCTCCTCCTCTTTCACAGGCGCCTGCTGTATCTGCCATCTCAACACGCTCAGCTTGTTCTTTGAACCAGGCAACCCCTAAGGAGAGAGGGCCACCTCCTTGTGACTCTAAGAGCTGTTTCTTTTTCTTTTTTTTTTTTTTAAGATTTTATTTATTTATTTGACAGAGAGAGACACAGTGAAAGAGGGAACACAAGCAGGGGGAGTGGGAGAGGGAGAAGCGAGCTTCCCGCCGAGCTGGGAGCCCGATGCGGGGCTCGATCCCAGGACCCTGGGATCATGACCTGAGCCGAAGGCAGACGCTTAACGACTCAGCCACCCAGGCTCCCTAAGAGCTGTTTCCCTAAGTTTAGAGGACATTGCTTTTGTGGACTACCTCCCTAAAATACAGAAAGAAACAGAAGGTGCTCAGCATGAGTGTGTGTGTGTTCGTCATCGGCTTCCCAGCGAAGCTGTATAATTCTTAAAGGCCCAGAAATGTGAATTCCTGCCGTGGAGCATGAGGAGACGCTCCCTCTCCATTTTAGGCTGGACTGCTCTCCATTCACTGTACTCAGATGCTCTCTGTGCAGGGAGGGAATGACCCCCTACCCCCATGTGCTGCACCCCATCCCACTCACTCCGGAGGAGGCCCCTGGGCCCACCGCGTGTTGGGTAGCAGTCAGTCAGGCCCCTCATGCTTCTCCGCTTCCTCTTTCCTCCCTAGATGAGAACGCCAATCTGGGCACGGTGATGAGGTACGAGGAGATCGGTAAGTGGCCGGAAAAGCGGGGACGCTTGGGGCTTCCTGCCTCTACCGGGGGCAGAGGGGGGCAGGGGAGAAGCTTGGAGCCCCTGGGTTGTGTTTGCAACAGGGTCTACTCTCAGAACGATGGCTTCCAAACTAGAGCAGATTCTCAGTTATCTCCCACCTGGCCAGTTCCCAGGAAGTAGCACTGGCTGGCTTGGCAACGTTCCCTTCGGAGCCTCCCCTCTCTCATCCAAAACACGTGGAAGTTAAGCTTCCGCGGCAGCCAGAGAGACCTGTCTTTGGCCCATGACACTGAGTGAGGCGGAGGAGCTCCCCTGTCTTCCTTTTTTTTTTTTTAAGATTTTATTTATTTATTTGACAGAGACACAGCGAGAGAGGGAACAAGCAGGGGGAGTGGGAGAGGGAGAAGCAGGCTTCCCGAGGAGCAGGGAGCCTGATGTAGCACTCGATCCCAGGACCCTGGGACCATGACCTGAGCTGAAGGCAGATGCTTAACGACTGAGCCACCTGGGCCCCCTGGGCCCCCTCCCCTGTCTTCCTTATCTTCTTCCTTATTTCCGGGCTCGGAGGGCAAGGAGGAGAGAGGGGCTGAGAACCACCTGCACAGCTTCCCGGCAGCCGTGGGCGGGGGCTAAGGCACCCACTGTCTGTGTGAGCGTGCGCAGGCCCAAGGCCAGAGCAGGTGGACGGTGCCGGATGGGAAGGAGCTGACCCACCCGTGGAAATGAGCGGAGTCCCGCGGAACCCTGGGGAGCAAACCAGAAAACTGAGTTCTTCCCGAGGTTCCAGAGCGGGTGAGAGACACAAGTGTGTGAAGCTGGGGAAAGAACAGACAGCTGTCAGAACGGAGCTGGAGTTGACCCCGTACCAGGTGACAAGGAGGGTCAGTGACAACTGGAATGCTTGGAGCTCTAGCATGAGGGGCAGCCTGGTGTCTAGCAGACACGCCCAATCCACAATCCCAGCTGCAGAAATACTCCAGGCCATCCGTTTCCTGCTGTGCCTCCGTGGAGGGCTGGTGGGCAGGTGTGCGTGCTGGGATCCTGGGAGCGGAGGACTGTACCCGGAGCCTCATGCTCTCTCCCAGGCGGCCAGGCAGAGGTGACATCACTTCAAGGAGTGTCTCTGGGTCCTGTCCTGTGATCTGAGGAGCCATGGTGTACCTGAGTTGGCGCCTACTGTTTTGTTAGAACCCTTTCTACGACTTTCAGGAAGTATGCAAACTGGTTGTCAAATGCAGCCAATACGAAACAACAGTTAAGTACATTGTATTAACAACAGTACACTGTATTAACAAAGATCCTAAGTCCTCCAAACTCCTCACTTCTGAATTATGTTCCTGTATTTTATTTTATTTAGAGATTTTATTTTATTTATTTGAGAGAGAGAGAGAGAGAGAGTGAGAGAGAGAGAGAGCACAAGAGGGGGTAGGGTCAGAGGGAGAAGCAGACTCCCTGCCGAGCAGGGAGCCCGATGCGGGACTCGATCCCGGGACTCCAGGATCACGACCTGAGCCGAAGGCAGTCGCTTAACCAACTGAGCCACCCAGGCGCCCTGTTCCTGTATTTTAATGTCCTTTATTTACCCGCCCTTCACCATCTTAAGGCCACAAAAAGCAGCAACGTGGCTTCCTGGTTGCTCCCCCAAAACAAGGCAGAAGCATTCGGCTCCAGGTTCCCCAGCTCCCAAATACGCCAAGGGCGAGGAAGAGCAAGCCCTGAACTCCCACGTCCTGCAGTTCCGCACCTGGCCCGGAACGGCGCTCCCTGGGAGGTCTTCTTGAGCAGCCCAGCTCAGAGCAGTCTTTAGACTTGCAACTGTATTCAATGTCGATTTCTCCATTTCTTGCGTTCCTTGTTCCAGAAAGCATTTATTGCGGCAAGCTTCAGCCATGACCTTGTTTACGTTCCCGGCTGGTGGGCCAGTGTGTGAGGCCACCTGCCGGGAGCGCCTCCGCCCACAGAAGGGCAGGCTGATGAGGGTTTGCACAGTTTGCTGCCAGGCCTGCACCCTCAAGTTCCTCATCTCTCCGCTGCCTGGTGAGGGGCAGGGCTAGCCTGATCCATTCTTACTCTTCTTTCCAAGTAAGGAAAGCGGGGCGGCCACAGCTGTCAGGATCGATTCGTGGCCTGGTGTGGTCCAGCTGGCCGTGGCCTCAGGGGGCAGTGGGAGCTGGAAAGGGCCCCGGGGCCGGAGCTTCACAGAGCCAGGATTCCTGGGCGGGGAGTGTGGTGGGACAGCGCTAGTTCTGCCTCCTGGCTCTGGATCCCTGGGTGGGGGTGAACCTGGGAAGGAGGTGGAGCGCAGAGCAGGTGGAAGGAAGCTGCCTTGCTTCCAGACTGTGTGCCGGGAGGCCCTCTGGCTCACGAGTCCCCTTCTTCTTTTTTTTTTTTTTTTAAAGATTTTATTTATTTATTTGACAGAGAGAGAGAGAAATAGCGAGAGCAGGAACACAAGCAGGGGGAGTGGGAGAGGGAGAAGCAGGCTTCCCGCTGAGCAGGGAGCCCGATGTGGGGCTCGATCCCAGGACCCTGGGATCATGATCTGAGCCGAAGGCAGACGCTTAACGACTGAGCCACCCAGGCGCCCCACGAGTCCCCTTCTTGAAATCCCCTTGCACCTCGCGAGAAGGAAAAAGCCATGTTCTCCTAGCTCAGCTAGCACCTATGGCTCCGTTTCCATGTTCTTAAGCCACTGTCTGCTCCTGGGGGGTGCCCCAGACAGAAGGCTTTGCGGGCGGGAAATGCTAGCTCTAGTCTCCGGCAACAAACCACGAGAGATCGCTGCTGCCCTCCAGCGGCCATGCGTGGGATCCCAAGCTCCGCTAGGGCCTCTGGTCCGTGACAAATGCATCTGTTCTGGTCCCGCAAGAAAGGGTGGAGACCTCACTTTTTAACTTTCTGTGCTTTGGCTTTAAAAAAAAAAAAAAACCAACATTGTACTCGAGTGGGAAAGGGAGTTCCTGGCTTGGGAATAGAAAAGAGATTTATTTTTATGGCTGTAGAGCAGGCTTTCTCAACTGTGGACCATTGACGTTTGGAAATAAGCAATTCTGTGTCGTGGGGGCTGCCATGTATGTGCCTTGCAGGATGTTCGCCAGCATTCCTGCCCTCCACGCCCCTCTCCCTGGTCTTGACAACCAGAAATGTCTCCAGGCATTGTCAAATTCAGGAGGCAAAACGGCCCCCCACTGAGAGCCACTGACACAGAGAAAGCCAGGGGCCGGCACATCCTCCGGACAATGCCACCTGACTGAAATTTTAGGCGATCAGAGTTACCATACAGAATTACAGGCAATCTCTTTCCACAGAAAGAGAACTCTGGAGCCCTGGGCGGTTCCAAGTGGGGTGGGGGACAGTAGGATCCCAGGAATGAGCCCAGTGTGGCTCCTCTCAGCCATACGAAGACTGGTTCATCTCCACAGATGGGGAGTTGGGCCAGAAGTCCCACGGCATAACATGGAAGGAGGGAGACACCGCTCCCTCCAGGACCCTGGGCTGCAAAAGCAAAGGCCATAAGGGCCAGCAGAGCCATCCCAGACTGCCCAGAAGGCTCTTAGACCACTTGCCTGCATGGCCTCTGTGGGCAGCTTGTCTGTGGTTCATTTATTCATTACATTCTGAGCGCCTACCATGTGCAGGTCATTCTGCCAGGCCCCGGGGGTAGAAAGATAAATTAAGGTCCCTGCCCCTAAGCAGATCTTTGGGCTACAGGATGGCATGGAGGAGAGAGGAGGCTGCAGGAGTATTTAGGAACAAAGACCACAGCGCTCCACGGGGCTCCCTGAGGGCGGGATGCGGGGTTGGGGGGGTGGGGGGTGGAATGAGATACTGACACTGTTGTCAGTCCAGCGGCCTGCCTTTTCCGTACCATCTGGAGATTCCCACAGCAGGGACAAGGTCACCATCTGTAAGTCCTTGTCAGGTCCCCGAGCGAGCTGTCACGTCTCAGGCAGGCAGACCTAACCGCCATCTCTCAGCCTCGGTGCAGGGTGGCGGTGGTCTCTGGAAGGCTCGGAGCTGGGCTGTCTCTCTCACCGTTTCGGACAAGATGCCCACAGCCTCTCGCCGGAGGGCCCAGGATGCCTGGGAACCAAACACTCCACACTGAGTCACACCCCGGCAGGGGTCTCTCCCCACGTGGTCCTGAGAATCCCAGAATCCTTTTTTCCCCCATTGCTCTGTTTTAGTAAGTCAGTCACTTCGCTGCCTGTCTGGAGGGGCCTCGCTGGGATGATGCAGAGTGGGCTGGAAGGGAAGGAAAACAACGGACTAGCAGGAAGTGCACCTGGGATGGGGGTGGGGTGGGCTCGGCCTTGCTCTCAAGCTCTTTGCTGAGGACAGTGGCCCCGGAAAGAGAGGACATCCGATTAACTCAGCTACTGCATGGGGACACTCGATGTCCCCCCAGGCCCCCCAGCATTCCACATTTGTGATGAAAGACGAAGCCTGGATAATGGACAGCAGCAGGGGGGCCAAACTCTGTTGGCACTTGAGTTTGATACGGAGAAGAGAGAGCCCCTCAGACTTTAGACAAGTCACATAGCCGGCTCTGTCTCTCGGAGGATGCCCAGCCATCCTGGTTTAGCATGGAAAGACCCATGTCCCCAGAAACCCCTCGGTATCAGGCAAACCAAGACCCTCCCTGAATGAGTAATTCCTCACACAGGGGACAAGAGTGGTCTGTAAATGAGCCGGGCAGGCAAAGGTGTCTACACCGCACACACCATGGTGCAGGGGAGCCTGGAGGACATGGGTGTTGGAGGCCCAGGAATCGGAGACTTCTGTATTTATCAGCGGCGAGGCTGAGAGTTGCATGTTTTCCAGGTCTCCACTCATCCCTGTGCCAACTTTGTTCCCTCTCCCCAGAGCTGCGGATCTTGCTGCTGTGTGGCAGTGACCTGCTGGAATCCTTCTGCATCCCCGGGCTCTGGAATGAGGCGGATGTGAGTAGCAAGGGCCCTACAGCACCACGCACAGCTGCCATGGGGAGGATGGGGAGGGGGTGCCTGGTTTCGGCCTCTGCTCTTCCCTCCCCCCACTGCCTCCCTCCCCAACCCGAGGGTCTCATCTCCTGTGAGCTTCCAGGAGGACAATCCATTCTCGTCACTATGGAAGAAAATGCTCACCTATCCCAAGCTTTAGCTCTGACTGCATTTTTACACTCACTCCTACTCGGGCTTGCTCCTGTAAAGCCCCTGGGGAAAACAATCGGAGTCATAGAATACCTTCTCCAATACCTTCTCCAAGTAGTACCCGGAGTGTATGTGTGTGGCAGAGGCAGGAGGTGGGGGAGGGAGGGATTTTTAAAAAAGCCTTGGCCCTTTTGAGATTATGTGTGTTTTGTTTTCCTTTGATTCCTTTTGAAGAGGTGGTAAATACCACCCTAGAATTCCCTCAACAAGAAAAAAGGGGTCAGGAGGGGAGGCATTCATGGCAAAAGGTCAGTAGAATCCTTCTAGCAATTGACTGGGGATAGAGGGAAACAGGAAGTTAAACTTATACCACTTAGAAGCTCAATGGACATCTTTTGTTGCCAGATCTGATGGTGATGTCTTAAACCAGCTCATTCATAAGTTACTCACTCTTGGTCTGTACATTCATTCTTGCTCTTTCATTAATTCATTCATTGGATAACCTGAGCTATTGCTAGTTCCCAATTCCATAGCCCCCCCCCTTTTTTTTAAGATTTTATTTATTTATTTGAGAGAGAGAGAATGAGAGACAGAGAGCACGAGAGGGAAGAGGGCAGAGGGGGAAGCAGACCCCCAGCTGAGCAGGGAGCCCAATGTGGGACTCGATCCCGGGACTCCAGGATCATGACCTGAGCCGAAGGCAGTCGCTTAACCAACTGAGCCACCCAGGCGCCCGCCCCCCCCTTTTTTTTTAAGATTTTATTTTTTTATTTGAGAGAAAGAGTGAGCAAGAGAGAGAGCACAAAAGGAGATGGCGGGGGAGAGGCAGAGAGAGAAGCAAACTCCCCTGCTAAGCAGGGTCCCCGATGCGGGGCTCGATCTCAGGACCCTGGGATCATGACACGAGCCAAAGGCAGGCACTTAACCAACTGAGCCACCCCCCTCCCACTTCCATAGCCCTATGCCAGTTGGGTTCTCAAGGCAGCAATTCCAGACCTAGTGCTTTTTTAATTAACTTGCTGTGAGACCCCATGCAAATCACTCAACTCTCTGGGCACCAGTTTGTTTCCAGTTTTATTGAGATATAATTGGTATGTAACATGGTATTAGTTTAAGATGTACAACGCAATGATTTGAGATATGTATATATTGCAAAATATTATCACAAATTTAGTTAACATCACTTCACATAGTACAACTTGCTTGTGCTTTTAAAAATCTATGACATGTTGGGGCGCCTGGGTGGCTCAGTCCTTAAGTGTCTGCCTTTGGCTCAGGTCATGATCCCAGGGTCCTGGGATCAAGCCCCGCATCGGGCTCCCTGCTCAGTGGGAAGCCTGCTTCTCCCTCTCCCACTCCCCCTGCTTGTGTTCCCTCTCTCGCTGTGTCTCTCTCTGTCAAATAAATACATAAAATCTTAAAAAAAAAAAACCTATGGCATGTTATCTATCACATTCTGACATTTACAAAAATAGGCAATACAGTCTATTCCCCCAAGTATCAGGTGGCAAGACATATACATATGAAATTTTTTCATGTACATATATGTACGTTTCTGGAGAGAGAGAGAACCTTCAGGATCAGCTTCCACATTCCAGCTCTATTCCAACACAGCTCATGACAAAAATCTATTTTGAGCCTCAGTTTATCCCATCTCTAAAATGGGTGTAATAATAGTGCCTATCTCATAGGATTGGGGGAAAATTAAATGAGATTGTGTACCTGAAGTGCCCAGCCTAGTGCCCGACACACAGTTACATACAACAAACGTTCATAAGCAAATTTACCTCAACAGACCCATGGACATACACACTGATATTCCAGGTGAAGGGTGTGAGTGCTAACATGCTGTGGGAGGACCGAGAGGGGAGGGAGAGTTTCCCGGAGGTGAATTATACTGTGTAGGGCTTTCATCTCCACCCCTGGACCATTTCTTGCAGGTGAAATTCTAAATCTCCTTTCGGTTCTGGATGAAATGGCTTAATTAACTTTTACTTTCTTTAACTTCACATGGTGCTGTGAAAGTAGTAATGTGGCCAAAATTGTGTACAAGATCTAGGTGCTAAAATAGCAGGACAGGTTAAGATAAAAAATAAGAGCAACCAATAGCTGTTGATTTACTGGGAATGTGACAGTGAAGGGGGAGCAAAACCCTCATTTATTCAGCTGTGTTCCCCCGTGGTTGGTTACTCTGAAGATTCAGAGCATCCAGCCTGGCTACCTGAGGTAGAGGGGAAAAAAAAAATCAAGGAGCTGTTTCCTTACATAACGAGTATGAATCTCAACCCACAAAAGAGGTGTGCTAGAAATATCACCTTTGATTTATTTAAATCAAATTAAAATTCAAGTCCAAATCTATTCCACAGGGCTGATGGGAAGTTAGTCTCAATTATTTTTTTTTTAAGATTTTTTTATTTTATTTTTTTATTTATTTGAGAGAGAGAGAATGAGAGACAGAGAGCATGAGAGGGAGGAAGGTCAGAGGGAGAAGCAGACTCCCTGCCGAGCAGGGAGCCCGATGCGGGACTCGATCCCGGGACTCCAGGATCATGACCTGAGCCGAAGGCAGTCGCTTAACCAACTGAGCCACCCAGGCGCCCCAGTCTCAATTATTATAGTACTGACTAGCAGAACCTGAAAGGCTTCTGTGGGCCCTGAACGTGAACATTAGTTCATCAGGACGCCTTCCTTGTCTGGACATTCTTGGTCACTTGGAGGTGGTGGGGTTCTGCAGGGCTCCTGGCCGAGTCCAGAAGCCCAGCGCCGGGCCCCACCCACCAATGATCATCAGGACTCATTTTCTTCTGAGGTTTTGCCCCTAGGGTGCTGCCTGGGAGGGAGGAGAGGGTGATTTTCACAGATCTCTAGCTTCTATCTCTGGGGGTGGGGTGGGGAGGGGGGGGGATGGAGTGGGGGAAGCAGAGAATGCAGAAACTCTTCTTTCTCTTCCAAAGGTATCTTTCCTATTTTCTCTCATCCTAGATATCTAGTGAAATCTCTTCAGTGAGCTTAAAGCCGCTGACTGCAAAGCATTATTTTCTGCCCTGCAAATGAGAGAGCAGGGTCTGGTAAAGGGTCTGGTTCTCTGCTAGAAATAGGGTTGGGCTGGGTAGAGGAGGATGTAGGGAACGCACAACTAGTTAGTAACTCCGAGGATTATTCCACTGTCCTTGTTTGCAGAGGTTGGATCTCAGGGTCTAGAAAAGGAAGGTCTTCCTTTAAAGACTGGGTACAGTGTGAATCCTGCTTATTCTACTAGAAAATTCTACCATCTGGAGTTTGCCTGGAAGGGCTCCATTTTAGGGTTTTCAGTTCCTAACCATGAGATTACCAGGGATGAGGTATATGAGACCTTTCTCTATCCCGGGTTTCTTCATTAGCTGGTGTCCCAAGTGATACTTGTTGGCCACAGACCTCTGTTTAGTGACCATGAGCCCAAACCCCTGAATCTGCCCATGACTGGGGACAGGAGGTGGGCAGAAGAGCCAAGCTCCTTGGGAAGGTCACAGGCCCTGGCTCCACACCCCAGCCTCCCATGTTCTTCAGAATCCTCAGGATTCTGATGACAGGAGAGAAGCCACAGGTCTGGGGAGAAATAGGAGTCTCTCCACCCTTCTGTAAAGAAAACTCAAAGCGGGCTATGGAGCAGCTTTGCCCCCAGCTGGGCTGGGAAGCAGCTGAGTTGGTCTGTCCCGCAGCGGGCTTCCTCCAGCATGGTCACAGATTCTCTGGAGTCCATCTAGCTCTTGCAATTGGGACTCCTGAAGCAGTGCTCTCCATCCAGACGTCTAATCCCACAGCCAAAGGAACAAATCCACCTCCTAACTCATCCCTTGGGCATTTCCTATTAGGCACAAAGCTCCATTAGCCCACAGTGCATTCTGACCTCCTCTGACCAATGACACACCCATCCCCTTACATTCCAGGGGGAGAAAATTCCATACATATTCATCAAGTTTCTCTCCATGGGATGCAACGGAGCTGCTGGTGCGGCCTGGCAGTTGGCTTTTTCATTCGTGATTCCTGATAGAATTCAAGATCCAGGCTCCTGGGCTAGCCTTGGAGAGCGGCACCCCGGAGTGGGGGGTGGGGTGGGGGCCAGCCCTTCCCATCCCTGGGTTTTTATTACAGAGTCGGTCTCCCCTAGGGGACCTGATTTTTGCTGTGCACATCCTGGCACCAACACGAAAGCAGGTTTCCAAGCATGGAGCAGGATCTCTGGGAAGTCAAGGCCAGAGATGAAAGGGTCAGCCGTGAGCACACATTTGTGAAGCAGGAAGCTGTTACACTCACTCCCCTCCCCCAAATAAAACCAGTTGTCTAGAGCTCTTATGCTGTCAGCTGCTTTGTCCATCATATTACAATGGAAGGCAGTCTGGCAAATTAATTCTGATTCCAGCATTCTTTCCTTCAATCAATCTTTCCACTAATACTTACTGGTTTTAGACCCCAGTATGAATATAAGCACGTTATCTGTCCTTAAGGCACGTGCAGTCTAAAAATGCATTCGTTTTTTCTATTGCATGCGATAAAATTGTAAAAAGTTTAGAAGAGTTCCTGAAACTAGTAAGCGCTCAATAAATGTTGGCTGTTATTCATCTGTTGGTTTTAAAATATTCGTTGAGTACCTACCAAGTGCCAGACATGGCTCTAGGCCTGAATGAGCAGAGAAAACAAAACAAAGCTTCTCACTGTGGGCACTTTACTTTCTAGGAGGGCAGAGAGAAATAAACACTTTGATGTTTTCTCCTGGATTAGCTCAGTTAACCCCCCAGCACACTCCTGGGAAGTGAAATTGCACAAGTCTTCAG